TTCAAGCCAACCTTGTTTCGTCGCACAGATTCAAGACTTTCCCATGTTAAAAAACTCTGGGTTCTTGGATCTATCTCCGTTCCGACATAGTGTTCTTCCCACTCAATCGGCACATCAGCAGTTCTGAATACCTGAAATTTTCATAAAACCATCATCAGGACTAGTACTTTGGATTCTATAATTTGCACAAGAACTTGTAGGAAGATAGTGTCATGGATAACTTTATTGTAGTTGAACCCTAGACTAGAATAATAACATTTCCATGGGCAACAGGAAGATCAAACAATTAAAAAATGCCCATGGCCATACGAAGCAACAAACATAGAATAGCTGGTAATTCTTCGACATTTATGCCAGAAAAGGATTGATGTATCACTAAAATAATTAAGAATATGTGTTTCAAATGCAGATAAAATCTAAACATTGGGGCTTATATTGTGAGCAGCTTATCAAAATGTTTAGCACAATTTAAAACTAGATCCAGGACAGAGAATTCATAAATAACTATTCTACGGCTTCTTTCTTGGAAAATTCCAATGGTACTGATCCTTTCTGCCTAAGAAAGATATTCGAGCTGATGTTCCATTTCTAATCAAAGGCTACATCAAGTCATCACATGAGAAAATAGAACAAACACATAAAACACAAGATTTCTTAAACACTTCAGCATGTATCCTCTCATATTTCCCTTGAGAAATAGAAACTAAAGTATATTCAAGTATAATATCACCGGAACAGATCCATGCTCATAGGGTCCATCATAGAAGTTTACTTCATGAACAACCTAAACTGATCCTCAATCCCATATCATACAAAATAAATAAATAAATAAAAGAAAGATATTTGTACATTATAATTAACAGCAGATTGGTGAGGACTTTGGATGAGAAGCGAGGTCATTTTGCCGCCACCCCACCCCCAAGTTTCTTTATATTACTCAATTCACGTAGAATTACTTTCTAGTTACATTCCTCGCAAAATAAGGTCCAGCCAGTAAAAAGTTGTAGCCCATAGTTATGTTGATTCCTGCATCCATATGTTGGACAAACCACAAGTCATGAAAGTTATGAGAACTTAGTGTGCGCCACGAGAGTAAAGTGAGCGGGATGAAATTTGACTTCTACTTAATAAAATTCTTTTTTTCTCAACATACTGATTTTCAGCTTCGAAATTCAAATTCAAATGTTTCAGCTAAAACCAAAGAATACAAGCAAAATGGACATTTTTGTATACATATGCATCTAGACATTCAATAAAGACAGGAGAACATACATAAATATGTAGAGGGAGGGAAATTTTCATTGAGTTTCGGGCGGCTCAAGGTGATTTCACCTGTAAAGTATTAATCTTAGAGAAAATGGAATTTCCACAATAAATGCAAACCCCTCTGATATGATTTTTGAGGATACAAATTCTTATTTAGATTAAGATAGTAATTTTTCTCATTTCATTCATTTCCGGTCAATAGACTATCACTATAGACCCAACGGATATGCATGCATAACATAGAAATTTTAACAGAAGCTAGCTCAACTGCACAAGTCACTTCAAAAACGCTAATGATATACATCACGTGCGAAAGCCACATTATTTAACGATTCACTAATTAGTAAAATTAGGCAGATAATGATGGTTCAAATATAGATAAAAATAACAATAGACGTCAAAGAAAACTCATGCATAAAATGGAAAATTCAACACAATACAGTACACACCACTGTAGAAAACCTAAAGAAACACATCAAACACCAAAACCACAATCTTTCACCGCTTGCTGAATGATATAAATATAGTAGATTGATAAGCGCGAAGGGACCTGTTTGACAGATTCAGCGATTTCAGGGCCGATGCCGTCACCGGGGAAGAGAGTAGCGCGGATCAGATTGGATTCGGATGAGAAGCTCCGATTGAAAAAGCTAGGGTTTGGGGAGGAGGAGGATAAGATCCCGTCGAGTCGGCTACGAGCAAGTCGTCTCACGAGTTGGGATGCCATTGACAAACACAATTATTCGATCAATCGAATAACAATACCAAATTTCTAGGGAGGGAGAGTGCGCAAAGCAGAGCAAAGGCCTTTCTAATGTAAATGGGTCGCCGGGAGAAGAGTCAGCGTCTTTATTGTCACCAATGGAAGGTTGGCACGTGTCTAGTAAAGTGTTCTGCTGGGCGTGGTTGATCGATTGGAAAAAGAGCCAACTGTTTGGCCAGGCTCAAAGCTACAAAAAAATACATATGTGGAAATTACATAATTACACATGTTTAATTATTAGAATTCAAAAATAATGGATCAAGTTTCATTATTCAAAAATCAAGTACGAATATAATAAATATTACCCCCTAATTCAATTTCAACCCTAATTTTATTATCTCTCACTCACTCTCCATCTTCTCCATTTCTTCCTTTCCCTTGCTACGCCATCGTCAGAGACCTTACCCATTTCACTTCGATTGATAACACCGCACCATTGCCACCACGTAAGTAGCATCACGGCGATCTTTACTATTCAGTGCGATGGATTTGTGCGAATCACCGCAAGTTGCCACCGCAAAGCAAATTCACCCACTTAGTTCGACAAATATTCACAGGCGAAGTACTACAACCAACGCACGAAGCGCAAGTAGTGTTGTATGGTGGATTTGGCGGTTGGGGTGGTTTTGGATGGTGGTTTGTATGATGGTGTTTGTGTGGTGGTGCTTTTGTGGTGTGGTGCATGCAGTGGTTATGTTGTGGTGCGATTGCTGTAGTGTGGTGCCATGCAGGTAGTGGCCGTGATAATAGTGTGGTTCAGGCGACGATGGTGGTATTTTTCTTATTTTTATTTTTTGATGTGTTTGGTGGTGGCGATCGTGATGGTTTCTGGTGGCAGTGGAGGTAGATCTAGTGGTGGTAATGTCGTGATGTTGGTGTTGGTAGTGGTGCTGTTATGGTGGTAGCGGTGGTGACTGGGTGAGGGTGGTTGCAAGTGGCGACGATGGAGTTGGTGTTAACTCACTATTTAACCTATGACTAATTGTTGAGTAAATTTAATCAATGCTCACTGAATTTTAAATTTGGTTACTACTTGCTCATTCATCTTTCATGGGTTACTGAATGTTCACTCATCTTTTCATATAATTACTCATCCACTACTCGTCTCTTCAAATAATTGGACGACTTTTGCGACAACTTTTCGACAACTTCCAACCATCAAAAATGTCGAATTTTGATAACGTTGGAAAGCCTACGATATCCTATTCAATTACTACCCAAAATCTCCCCATAACTCCAAGGGATTCGATCGAAAAATTGCCTTAAAAGTCACCCAAAAATTTTAAAAATCTGCCCAGATTTTCAGATTTTTTTGGCGACATTTAAGGCAATTTTTCGGCAACTTCCGACCATCAAAATTGTCAGATTTTGATATCGTTGGAAAGCCCACAATGTCCTCTTCAATTACCACCCAAAATTTCTCCATAACTCCAAAGGATTCGATCGGAATAAACCTACAAAATCAGCATTCTGAAAATACGAAAATCTAGATAGAGTTCGGGATGTTGATTTTGTGGGTTTATTTCGATCAAATCCTTTGGAGTTATGGAGAAATTTTGGATGGTAACTGAAAAGGACATTATGAGCTTTCCAACGGTATCAAAATCCGGTAGTTTTGATGGTCTGAATTTGTCGAAAAATTGCCTTAAAAATTACCCAAAAAATCTGAAAATGTGGGTAGATTTTTAGAATTTTTGGACAATTTTTAAGGCAATTTTTCGATCGAATTCCTTGGAGTTATAAAAAGATTTTGGGTGGTAATTGAAGAGGACATCGTGGGCTTTCCAACAGTATCAAAATTCGATATTCTTGGTGGTCGAAAGTTGTCAAAAAGTTGTCGCAAAAGTCGCCCAATTAATTGAAGAAACGAGTGGTGGATGAGTAATTATATGAAAAGATGAGTGAGTATTCAGTAACCTGTGAAAGATGAGTGAGCAAGTAGTAATCAAGTTTAAAGTTCAGTGAGCATTGGTTAAATTTACTCTTAATTGTTTAGTTATTTGTGACCAACTATTTAATTGTGACCTTAAAATTCGATAATCTATGACCAACAAATTTGAAAATATATAATCTATATATAAACTGTGACACATAATTTTCTCATCTGTGCCCAATGAAATAAATTGTGACATATAAAATTTTCGATTTGTGATCTTGAAATAAATTGTGATCTATAAAAATTTTTATTTATAACCTCGAAATAATCCGTGACTAATTAATTCGATAATACGTAACTAATAAATAAATGGTGACATTTACTTATGTATCTGTGACCATTAATTTTATAATAGTGACTTTATTATATTTAATTAATTATTATATACTTGAATTTTGAAATTTAGGTCCTGTTTGATCCACATTCTTTTAAAATAATACATTCTTAAACAATATTTTGATATAATTTCAATCACACATTTTTCAGTAAAATAATATTACATGCAAATTCAAATTTTTTTCTTATTTTTTAATCACATATTTTTCACAATACACTATTCAAAAATGTATTCTTATAAAAAGAATAGGGCTCAAATAAGCGCTTAAACTATTTACCTCACTTTTGAATCGTTGTAAGTAATATACCTAAAATATGATTTTCCCCAATACATAACTACTAAAGTTTAAAGATACACATTCAAATTTGACAAATTTATGAATTTTTTTTTAAAGTTAGGTAATATTAATTAATATATTAAAGTCACGATAACATATAACTATGCTCCTATTTGGTAACGATCTAAGTCAAAGTCAACAATTTATTTTAATTTTGTGAGTTTCATAACTTTTCAACTACATATTTCATTAATTTCTAACAAAATCTACAAAAAAAATATGATTTTAATCTCCACTAAACAGACTATAATAACAATTCCATAGTAGTACAAATCGTAGAATATCACAATCATAAAGACATAAAATTTATGTTATAATTGCAAATTCAGTCATAAATTACACATTTTTATAGGTTACAATTGATTTATCAATTACAAATCATCAAACCAACTGATCAAAACTTATTTATCGATAACAAATACTCAAATTAATTGGTCACAACTTATTTTTCGATCGCAAATTATCAAATTAATTGGTCGCGATTTTATTTATCGATCACATATTATTAAATTAATTGGTCACGAGTTAATTATCGATCACAAATTATTAAATTAACTAATCATAATTACCCAATTAAATGAACCAAAATTACCATTTATCTTATCCTCCCCCATACCCCACTCCGCCCACTACTATTGGCACCACCCAAAATGTGTTGCCACTTGAGATCCACAACCCACCACCACCATAATAAACCACCACATCCACTGCACCACCATTGGTGCCATCGCATTAACACCATGTGTAGATCCTCACTACTACCACAAATATCACCTACACGGATCACAATCTGCAACCTATCACTTCACACACATTGCCCCACCAGCACTATCGCAGCACAACCTAACACCGCGCACACAGAGACAGAGTGAAGTGGGGCAGCACTGGATTGTAGCCCAGTGCTTCCAAAGTCCTTGTCCATTAAAAGGCCTAAAAAAGTGTTTGAAATGTTTTAGTTTTTAGTCCATTAGCCATCCCATTTTGTAAATTCAACCTAGCCCAAAAAATTATTTAAATATCCAATAGCCCATTACCCAATTATACCACAAAATGAACAAATATATCTCCTTCACTTTCATTCCACCCATTTACGTGTCTCTGTAAATTGGGTTGAAAATTTTAAAAACAAAATTCCCAAATCTTTGAATAACCCTAATAGGCTAATCCCCAATCTTTCTATTCTTTTCCCTAATCACCATCTCAAAGGAGATCCGTCGACCATAAGGAAAAAGAACAAGTGAAGTTTGAAGAGTTTTAGTCGGCTGTTGGCAAATTCAATTCGAACCCCATTTTTATCCAACAACTCGTTTCCTTCAATTATTGATTAGTAATTGTGGCTTTTTTTTAATACTTGTATCAAGATTTAAAATAACCTTTTTTTTTTAGTATTAAAACAATTTTTTTGGGCAAAGTGTTCTGATGTTTTAATTTTTTTGCAATGTGTAATGTGTTTGATTAATGATGATTTTTTATCTATGTTATGTTTATGGGTTATATTATTATGCTACAATATTAATTTTTATAACATATTCTGAAAATGGTGTACTAGTGTCTGGTGTGTAACATATTCTTAAAAAATTAGAAGATAATAAAAATTAGAAACCATTTAGAACATGTATCTCATGGTTAGATGTTTATTTTAGATGTTGATCTTTGCAATATATTTTGATAATGGTTCTAATTTTTATTAAGTTTGAAGAGACCACTGAATGTCCCAATCAAAGACAGTGTGTAAATGGTTCTAATTTTTATTTATGTTCATTTATATTTTTATTTTTATTTTTTGCTATGTTATGTTTATGGTTATAATTTTTTTTACAGGCATTTGATTGGTTTGCTTTTAAAGCATCTAAACAAGCTTAATAATTCATCTAATTGTTCCGTTCACTTCATCGACAAGACGACAACAAACTATGTAAGCACGAAGCAGGTATTTCGCTTGACCTTGAACACCTTGAATTATATTTTACGTTGGAGTATGAGTTTATGATGATTCTTAGATTTGGTTTTGAATTTTTAGCTAGTTATAATATTTTTAAAAGGTTAGATAAGTAGTTGGAATATTACTAGTGGATTATTTTTGGATTATTAGGATACTGAAGTGTTTTGGTTTTTTTATGATTTTAGATTTTAATATGGAACCAAATCAACCTCTTACCAAGAAAGGAAGAACCTTATCTTTCTTTACAAAGAGCGACAAATCAGAGGGTACTCCAACTCCTAAGGTACCCAATCTTTCAATTACATCTCCTGAAATTGAACAATCTTCAATTATAATCATCTGATTCTATAGAACGAGACCCAAGAAAAAGAAAGCAAATATATGAATATCCATTTAATGAATGTGATCAAATTAAGCGTGCCTGTTTAAAGGCTGTACCTTATCAACCAAAACTTTTGGAGTATCAAAGCAAAGAATGTGGAAAATAGAAACGTCGATTTCAAGAGCATTGGTACAATTAGTATTCTTGGTTGGAGTATTCGCCTTCAACACATAAGGCATATTGCTTTTTCTGTTTCCTTTTTCTCAATGAAAG